ATTTTACAACTGATTACCATCTTTAAATCTTCAAAAATTAATAATGCAGTATTTAATTATGCAGATTAATAATGCAGTGCAGTAATTAATAATGCAAAGTTACCGTGCTTATTATCAATATTTTTCAATAGTAACGAGATTATTAATAAAATGTCTACTGTTTGAAAAGTAGTTTAATAGTTATTTGCAATTATCAGTGCCGTAGTTATTTTTATTTGCGCATAAAAATGGCGAAAGAAGCGCGGTAATACTAAATGTTTCTAAAATGAGCTGTTTGAAAAAATGTTACTGATACAAAAATGTATAACATGGGATAAGATGGAAATTTGCTTATCAGCCATTTCATATATGCATCTCCTGTAAGTATACATACCATATCACAATAATAACCAATCTCATGTCACGTATTTCACTTCAAGTAATATGGAATGCATTGATGCAACAACTCACTTCTAAATTCCTCAGAGGGTGGTGAGTATGGACGCATTGACAGGGTCAATAAATTTTATAAATCTCACCACAGACCATAGAATTTAATGCAGCGCGTCACTTGCCCGTAAGTTAGCAGTTGACCGCCACTAATATATGTTTAATCTGTATCTTATTTCTTTTGTACCTCAATGTTAGTCACTGCAGAAGATCAAACTGCGCCTTCATTTACACTTACGTTACTATCATACAAATAATGATAAAATAATAAGAAAATTATGCATGTTTTCTTTTTTACAATCAATACACAGTGTATAAGGTATTTCTATCGCCTTCCTAGCGTGCCTTCGTGGTGTAGTGGCCTGCACGCTGAGCGCGGAATTGAGAGGTCCGCGGTTCGATTCTCGGCGAAGGCACTGCATATTTATCATCTCTCCTGCTTCCCAAAAAATACCTTATGTCTCAAAACGTAGCGCCTGAACTAAAAGGGTGGTGGATGATGATTCTCCTCACCCAGGATTTAGCGATTGGGTCCACTAAAAACGCCAGTCGCCCTCTAAAAAAGGGAATATATAAGGTATTTCTCCCATCTTCGTGATGTAGTGGTTTGCACGCTCAGCGCGTAATTTAGAGGTTCGCGGTTCGATTTCCGGCAAGGGCGTTGCATATTTTTCATCTCTTCTGCTTCCAAAATACCTAATGTCTCTACAAATATTGAATTAGATACATTAAACTCGGATATGCTTGATGATGAAATTATATGGATCCGTACGTTGCACTGAATGACAGAAATGATTTTATTTACTTTTTTGAATGGTTAGTTGCGTTAAATCATGTTCAAGATCGTATTTACAACGCCATACTCTCTATATTCTGAACATGAAACTCCCAAACACCTTTTCTACAAATGCTTTATGAACTGATGTAAAAGCTCGTATATTGAAAACATCTATGTCATATTTAAACCAGGAGGAGGAAACATTTCCTTTGTGTTGTTGATGAGATAAGTGTGCCTAGTCTTCTAACATCCAAATAATATATGGCTGTGATCATGCATTCTTGGAAGAAAATGAGCACAGAACCCAAGTACTTAGTACAGGTTTACCTTGGTTTAACATAAATATCATACCTGATATGTAACATAATATATGAGGTGAAAGATTCTAAAAGACATTTTGGACTAAATCATAAATTATAAACTAGATATTTCAAATTAATTCTTATATATTCAGTTATTTTTCTGAATCATCTGCAGCTGCCTATTAAATTATTATTATATATGAGTACAGTTTAGATCCTGTCTATTGTGTAAGTGCTTGTCCAATATATTAATTTCGTGTATATTTAATATGGAACACACGGTTTAGTATTTTTAAAGGAAATGTGTATTCTATAAATTTTTTAAGGCAAAAGAGTTGATTTTCCAGAGTGCTTGTTTTGAGATCAAGCGCACCCAAGGTAAAAAAGCAAAAATTTCTAATTCGAACTGTTTAAGTGAGAATCGTGTTTTGGGCACATTGAACAGCATATATATGAATCATTTTTTCCCTTAAAAATTGCTATACGAAGTCATACTCTGTAGACAAACAGTCTTCATATGTTGCCTATCTTTCTGGTTTTCCTATCGCTTCCTTTCAATAAAGCCTCAAATCTAAGGTTATTTAAAGGCAATCATGAAAGTTTCTGATTGAATAAATCTATTGCTATCATGCTGTAAGCGGTCATGTACATATAATTCCATGAACTAAATATAATATTTATGTACTGAAATGCTAAATAATGCACACAAATTTGTGACAAAATACATAGGAATTATGCAAAAATCTAAAGCAACGAGAAAATAATACAAAGATTGCTTCTAATTTAAAGCAAGACGTACTAATGTTATTCATATATACTAATACATAACGTACACATGTACATACAGTGGAGAATGTAGCATACTGATGTTCACCAGTGTTTATATTTCAACAGTGTTTAAAGGCTTGTTTTCATATTTCCTCCTACACGTTTTTAATATTTACTTTTGCTTCTTTTAGTTTAACTTTTTTTCCACTTCTTTATTTGTTATTTACTTTTTTTAATTTAATATTGTTGACAAAATACTATTGTTGAAACGTTTTTTTATTTAATTGCATGGTTCTTCTAGTGCAGCTATTTCATTGAGAGGATAGTATTTTCAAGTTTGAATAGTAGTTTTACAATTTAAGATCCTAATTCAACATTATAAAATTCTTTATTTCATACAACCTCTGAAAAAATACCTAATGTTGATTTTTAATTAATTTAGCGTATTAGATTTTTTGCATTATAAGCGAGGATAAAATATGAACCTCTCATGGTCATGGTACAATTTTAAATTATTCGTGGTACTTGACAAAAAATCTGCTGCTGACGGCTATCGATACGTTATGGGTGTCCAGAATAATAAAACTGCTTATCAGTTTCAGTTTATGAAGGAATTTAAAATTGAAGGTTTCGAATATTCAATTTGTTCAGGACGCTGGATATATCTCCCCTTCTTTCTCTACTTCCCCTGCTGGTTGCATCAGCAAACCAGCGATAACGACGTATAAATTAAATTCATAGTGCCTACCACCCGATAAAATTTTCATACTCTTTCCCTTTCGAGGTGCAACAAAACAGCTTCCACCTCCACCACCACCACCTATACCCGGGGCCCATCACGCGCAAGACAAGCCCAAATGTTACCTGCACGCGTCATAAAGTTATTGGAAAACTTTTAAATAGCTCGCAGCTGTTGCAAACCGGCGATGCTGTCTGGATAATGGTTCAGGTTACGGCCACACTCGAGGTTTTCCTTGTCCAATGAATCCAGAAGCAAGGCTCTTCTATCTTTCTCTTGCATAATAAACAGGTCGTTAATAAAGATGAGTTTGGAATTTCTCCAAGATTTTTTTTTCTTCCCAACCTTTCTTCTTCTGGGGTATGTTTTGCAAGAAGCTGTGTTTTAATTGCTTTAAGTGGTCTGTCGAAGAGATAGAATTTAAAGAAGGTTGTTAGGAGGCTTCAGCGCTGTGAAAATAACTTACACGTGTTGCGGGTTAAGTCGTTCATCTCTTTATAGGCTTAGTTAATTATTTATTCGTCTTTTTTTTGTCAACGAGAAAATTCTCACTTATTTATCCAACATTAAGATGACATTTATTGTCATCTTAAATGTTGGATGTGCCAGATGTGCAGTTTAATTCAAAGCAAAAAATTACTGAAACCTGGAATAGATGTAGCGAGTATTATAGTGATTACGAGATTATTCCTTTAAAAATTCTGTAACTAATATACAATTTGTAACCTAAGAAATTTTGAAACTATTTATAAAGTTGGAATTCGTAACTGAAAAGATACTATGTTTTAAAATATGAATATTTTTTCCTGTGATTAAAGCGTTAAGTAAAAGCATGCAAGTTTAAACTTTAGAGGAAGATAAAAATGAATATTTAAATTACGCTGAGATATTTTTTCAGACTTTCTCGAAATGAATACAACCATACTAAAATAATGTAAGTCCGTGGTTAAATTTTAGTTAATTATGAATATGCCTTTGCTATAATATTTTCCAAAAACTTTTTAATTGTTATCTAAATATACGATAAATATCTAAATATCTAAATATAATCGTATAATTACTTTTGGACTTGGAAGAACAACGTTCATGGGAAGGATCCCGAGAGAAATTTATTTATGCCAAAAAATAAAAGAGTAAATATAGTAGAAAATGTCGAATAAAAAGTACTTCGGCAAAGAAATATAACAAACATGCAGGGTTTTAGAGTTTTTATTTCCGTCACACATGCACAAGAATTAAGTAATAGTAGTTTTTATTACAGAAAGTGCATACATAACTTTTAAAGAATTTACAGAAAATAAAATTTATTTCATTGAAACAGAGATGGGCATTTGTTTGCATGTCCCTACGAATATTTAATGACATTTTACATCATTTATGAAATTTTGAAATTGAAGATATCAAAAATTACGTAACTTTAAAAATAATAAGTTATTTACGTAATTAAGGGGATGTGAAAAATTATAAAGTATCTTTTATATTGTAGGAATCAGAAAAAAGAAGAAATTTCTGAATTATAAAAATAAAAATATCATTCGAATCTAAATAATCAAGATTATTTTCTGTTTATTTTTATTTATTTCTAATTCTTTTATCCAAGTAGATCACTTTAGAGGCAATCACATAAGAAAATAGCTGTTAGATAAATGATTTGTGAATTTTAGGAAACATTCAACAGTATATTCACGCTGATTTTATTGCGCAGTTCTATGAACTGAAAAGCAGCTAATATGAGTCCTTCTTCAGCAAGGAGAAAAACCATTAGTGTAGTCATTTCGCTACCTAACGGGTAGTTAATGTAATAAATAATGTGAATAATGCCTGTAATAAATTTTCTTTTTTAATATTAATGTTTCCATATTTTAAACATTGTTTTAATCTTGTTTAATGATATGTTTTCAAACTCAAATATTTTTTAATTTATCCATATTTATAGTTCTATTTTCTAGTAATTATAACATTGTATTTTTTTGCTTCTTCTCAGCTCCGAGTTTTGTGAGTTCTATCCATCATGAAGATTACGTATATTTCTTTTTTCGAGAAACGGCGGTGGAGTACATCAATTGCGGGAAGGTATGTTTGAAAATACGTTTAGTTTTCCATACTTCTTTTTTGCAACTGTCGTATGATTTTGATATTTGCGTACGTTTATGAGCTGCTCTTCAGTATAATACATAAATTTAAGCACTCACAAATGTTCTAAATTTAAGTTTTATACAAAAGCGTCCTTTCGACGTATCCCTACTCAGGAATAGTATACATATAGTTGATGTATTAGATTTAGAATATTAGTTTTAGGTGAGAAATGAATGAAGTTGGTTTATTAATTTCTTGAAGTATGTACTAAGAAGCATCACCTAACAGAACAGGTCTGTGACTGCTTTAATTACGTGACACGGTTTTGTAACAATAGCATATATTTAAGAAACATTATATGAACCCCGTAAAAAAGAGTATCAATGAGCAAATGGTATCATATAGCCGAATTATTGAAGGTGGGATAAAGAATCAACTCTCGTATGACAAAAATTACGTGAGATATTAGAGTTTTTAAAAAGCTATACAAAAATACTGCTAAAATCAGCTACTTATTTAGGTTTTAAAACACAGACTCCGAGAACATATGAAACGCTCCTAGGTTTTACTTCAGGAAAGCATAAATGTGTAAATAAAAACTTTTAAAATTCTCAATTTGTAGAAGAGTTAAACTTTTAAAATGTTTACGGCATTTTTACGTAGGTTAACAGTGATTTGAGTCAGTTAATTGTGACTGTTTATATTTTTCTACGGTATATAAAACTGGAGGTTTTAAAAGATGATTTTAGTATAATAAACGTTTTAGTAAAAATTGAAATTTTGTATATATTTTAGTGACTGATCTTAAGTTGCCAAAACTGACATCTTTTGAAATTCCTCTTTGATTTATTTCTTAAACTGAAACAATGGGATTATAAATAATCTTCGAGAGAAATTTAATTGCAGTTTTGCTGTCTGCATAATCTACCATTTAACATGTATCGTTGAGCACTGCGCTTTGCAAAAGTCCGATTCCAGGAGAGAAGTCAAAATCTACATGGACCGTTCTTTGATCGCATGATTCTGATCGTTCCTTTATTCATATAAGGGAATATAAACTGGCTTCCTTCATGAAGTCGTCCTCGAAAGTATTCTTTATAAATATCGGAACCTTCGATTCTTTATTAAGAACAAAACTTTCGATATAGTTTGAAAAGTCATAAGTTTGTTGGAATGTAATGAAGTGGTAATTTTTCTTTTGCGTGGTCAGTTCTGCGTGATCCCAAAAATTATCTACACTATTAAATCATTTTGTATCTCTTAAGCAGTAGTCGCAAAACATATCCTAAGAGCATTTGCTACCTGTTTGCCTGCGTAACGTATCTGTATCAGGATTTAGGTAGATAGTGCACGCACAGTTACGTTCTGTTAGGTATCGCCATTAATCACTGCCATTGTGAATATTGCTTTGTCTTTGATAAATCGGGCGGATAATTTGAAATAGCTATCTTTGGGGGTTCCGGATGATGGAGCGAGCAATAACTGTGAACCTCTGTGAGCGCAATTTATCATACTTTCCAGGAGAACAAACTTTTGTTCTTGTATTTCATAAAATAACTAATGAGAAAAATGGATTGGCCTGCCAGAGCAATAACAACAGTGAGCAGAAAAATTGCCCTATTTTATTGTCCTGTTAGAACTGGGTAATGGCTACATTATGTTTATCCAGATCATTATACAAATCAACGCAGTAAGTAAGTGTTTTGGAAAAGAGTAAAGCTGTTATTTTCTTACGCATTTCCGTATTCGTATGTATTTGACAGTATGGACATATTCCTGAATCCTTTTTTTAATATCGGCTGAGGTTTAGGTAATGGTAATTTTATATAAATCAAGTTTCAGTTACAATATAAATAGAAAAAATTACGCAAGACGAAGAGAAAGAACTGTGGGGTCGACGCTGTCATCTAAGCAATGTGTATCAATACTTAAAAATGTTTAACAGTGCTTTTACTAGAAACATTGTGCACAGTATATGTTTCGACTAATATCACGAGGTAACTTATTTTGCTGTTACTCTTTGCATAAAGTGTGAGTTATTTTGCGTAATAAAACAATAAAATAATTGGTTCATCTTCATTTAGTCTTTATTTATTAGCCCAAACGGGCTATTAGTCTCGAAACACGATTTTGCGTTGTTCCGGCTTTCATTCGAGACTTTTGCCATTCGGCAAAACGTAAGATATTATGTAATAGTTAATATTTCTGTTATTAATTACCAAACTAAATTGTTTGCAAGCAACAGATACGTTCTTAAAAAAATTATTTGTTTAACTTTTTAATCTGACTGATTTAAATAAAAATGCATTTAATTCATGCTGGACTTAGTTAAAAGCAGTAAATATTTTACAGATACTACTACATATTTTTTCACTTTTCAAATATAGATAAGATATATAACGTTTCCATATTACATGGCTGTCGATAATCTCTACTGAGAAATCATAATAAACTTTAAAAGAGCCCTTTTGGGCAATGGTTAAAATTTGAACCTTTTGGGATTTTTTTTCATATTATTTTTTAATTTTGTTTAATGCTTGTTTAATCTTAACTTCAATTCTCAACATTTGTATACAAAAGTTGAATTTATTCGATACTTTTAAACTCTCCCATTCTCATTTCAATGGCATTCGTACAATTCGATTCATTAGAGAATAGGAAGCTTACTAAGTTGAAACGTATCTTTTTATTACAGAATCTTGGAGAAGAATTTGGGACATTAAATTCATATAATGAGTCGTTAAAAATGCAGTAGAATATCGTATCCGGATTAATTAGGGTATAACCTTTTCATATAACAATTTTCCGTGATAACTCGTCATAAATACGCCTTATCAAAATTAAATGATAATGCCAAAAATATTCTTACTAATTAAAATTTTGGAACCCATGTGTAATTATTTATATTAATTATCTGGAACTACATGTGAAGTAGGATATCTGCGCATTGGTTAGCACATGAAATAATGCATGTTTGGGGAATGACAACATGCTGTGCAATGGATGCATGTTGGTTTTCTATAAAGCATTTTTAATATTATTTGTTAAATTATTATCATTATTTAAAGTTAATATTGTTTCCGAGAGTGATCAGTATTCATTAGTTATGACTGAACAGATAATTTAAGCTAAGAGCGAAGTGGCGATTAATTTCTAGTCTCGAAGAAACGCAAAAACACAAACGGAGGTTGTCCATGATGTAAATTTCCCTTAATGTCACATCAAAAGGTTAAAATCGCTTTTAAGCAATGATTCAGTTAGTAGATTGCCTGATGAAGGGCGAAGAAGAAAAACAGTTGCACTTGAAGATCGTTTTCTGTGTTGACTTGATAAAATCGTATTGGTGTATTTAATTATGGCAAAGCACACGAGGGCTATCTGCCTAGGGGAGGGATGCCTTCGTGGAGGACTTTCTAAGGGAAACTGGCTCGTATACACGTTACACATGGGGAAAACCACAAAAATGCCCATGCAGCCAGCCCCTTCGCGGGATTCGAACCTCCAAACGAACTACCAGTGTTCAGCGACTTTACCGCTCGGCCGCTGGTGGGCCTTGATAAAATCGTGAAACGAATATCAGAGAGTTGGTTCTATACCTTCATAATGCCACAGAAATTCGAATTAGCCGTTCTGATGCTTCCCGAAGTAAAATTTGTGCGAAAAATATAATTATTTTCCTAATAAAATATGTATTTATCAATAAAAAGTTGAAAGATGACTAGATTTACAAATAGTAAAAATTAATCGATAAAAAGAAAGTTACTTTTTTTTTATCAACGTTTTGATTTTGTAAGCGAAATATGATTAAACTGGATTTTATAGAACTGCACCCTGTCTTTAATATATTTTCCCCTTTAGTATTCGCCTAGTAAATATTCTAAAAATAAAATAAGATGAATGCTAATATTCGTTTTTCTTAACTAACTATAGAGGCCCGGTGGCGCAGTGGCTAGCGCATCGCGCAGCAGCACCATAGGTCCGGGGCTCGATCCCCATCCTGGGCAAGGTCCACTCGGCCTTTCATTTCTTGATTTCCATCTCTTGGGTCGATAAAATGAATACCAAGTTCGCTTAGGGACTAAACACGGGGGTCCTCCGACAAGCTGACCACTTGTTCAAAGCATATGCTCACGCACCCTGGTGCCCACGGTCAAGAAAGCAGATTTCGGGCACTGCAGGCCTTGGCCCACTAGGGCTGTTACGCCAATAAGTTTAGTTTTCTTAGTTTTTAACTAACTATAGTGAATAAATTTTTGGTGGCTAATTAAAAATTTTGTACTATAAGAAGTAAAATTTTCAACATCATTAGGTCGAAATTCCTTTCCTTTAAATCTAAATTAAAAAAATAATTGTGGCACCATCTATCGAGCAAAGTATAGGAGGGAACAAAAGAGCAAAAGTTACAAAATAAAGATTTGGAATATTTTTGAAAAATAAGACTGGAATTAAAATAGTTGGCTAAAGTTGTAAAATGGTTATTTATATCGAAGGCTTCAAGGAAATTTCATTCATCAGCTAAAGAAACTTTTGCACCGATATTGCTCAGAATGTTAACAGGATACTAACTTATTAGAGCTGATCTGCATGACTCATAATTAACAGATATTTCTTAGTTTGCGAAAGACTTTGAACTTTCTCTGCAGAACCCTTAAATGAACATATGAACAAAACAGGTTCCTTCAGATTACATTTCTTGGTATAAAATCAAGGTTTCATTTTCCATAAAATTGATGGCTCTGCTTTATAAAGTATTTAAAATTGTTTCGTATTCATTAAGTTACTTCTTAAAGAGCTGAATGAAGTTTCTGTCGTTTACTCAAAACGATAGGATTTAATGAACAGCATACCCATGAAACGCGACTTACCCCTACCATTTTCTCCAATTAAGCTTTATACGATCTTGATGCAGGCATTCATATCTTGAAGTTTACCCAAGCTTCAATTATTTAGATTTCGTATGCTGCATTTCGCTCGATTCATTGATGCGGGAAAAGGAG